TAAAGATGTCAGTCTGTGAATAGTATATCTGTGCAGCACGCAAACCACTTGTAGAAACAATGCTGAGTTTTACCAAAATCCGTTCAACACATGTTTACATTGCAAAAGCTACTTGAGCGACAGTTTAAAAAACCTTGAAGGGAAACAAAGACAGCATTTGCGTGAATGGAAAAACTTCCTTCATAAGCAAATTGAAACATGGAAGTTCTGATTATGGTCGATTATGAAAGGAACTCAAATTTCAGAGAAACTGCTTGAATATTCATTTGATTAATTGCACGTGGTTACTTCGGGCACATGTGCGAAAGTACAACTTCATTTGAATAATTTGCAGGAAAGTTATTGTCGAGGAATAACATTCAGATGCATCAAGCCGGAAGGAACATGTGAAACAATTATGTGAAATTGCTGAAGAAATCTACAAATAGATAAGCAGAAGCTGAAATGAGAATATATGCGGATGAATATAAAAAAACCCACAAAGCCCAAAATTTGTATGATTTCTCCCCAGACAGTTGTGATTTATTCGCCATTGAAAAGCAGGAAGAAATGAAAACGTTCGAGCAAAACTCTGTTACCCTGATCCAGAGACATAATACGAGACTTTCATTTTAACACTGAGTGACAGCTCTTTTATCTTCCGATCGAAATAACACAGATTAACCTGAAGGTTCAAACACACGCAAAAGCGTTTTTAACCCGAATTTTGGGTAGTTGTTAAGCTGAGTATCCATTCGCCGGGCAAACATAGATAAAAAAATTTCTTTACTTGAGACAAAAGAGGAAATTAAAATAGAGAAATTTTCGATTTCACATACACCCACAGGATTGCGTCTTCGTTCACAGCGTAGTATTCAGTATAAACGGAATTCTCCTATGTGCACTGATCTATCGCTCATCCACCTCTGACCTGGTAGAAGCTGCTGTAGTATCGAGAAGAATTTCTGCTGTACATTTCGACCCCTCTTTGCCTTCTCCCGATCCGGTATTTGATTCACAATTCTGTGAGTGTTTGCAATTGAAGAGCCTTCGTTGACAGCATAACATTTTTCGGAATTCGCTTCTGAAAGTGCGATTCATCCCTGCGTATATGAAAGGATTTATTGTATGGGATAAATATATGCAGAAATTGGACAGGAGTTTAATGTTCCGTGGCATCGACGTGACGACATTGAAACCCCTTAAAACAACAACAACCCAAAATGGGATCCAGCATATCATGAACGCGAACACAACCACAAATAGTGCCTTACTCAGCCTGAGCTCTTGCACGTTGATGCTTGAGCCTGTTGCGCCCCTGTGAATCGTAGATGACATAGCGGCATTGTGCTGTCGGATCATCTTTGCAACCTTTATGTAGCTGAATATTGTAGTCAATAAAGGAGTTAAAAGGAAAAAAAAGAGGACAATGGCGAAGTGGACAACTTTTCCCGTTTGATTGAGATGAGCCGGAGCGCACAGGGCATATCCTGGGACAAACACATAGTCTTGAAAACCTGCTAACTTCGGAACAGGGATGTAGCAAGCAACGAGGATCCATGCACAGGCCAATAATGCTCGTGACTTCCACGGTGAAAAGATTCTCTTGTATTGCTCCTCCGACTTACAAATCCTCATATATCTGTTAAATGCTGTTAAACCCATAGTGACGGGTGAAATGTACACCACAAACAAAGCAATGTACGCTTGAAAGTCGCAGATCACTGGGCCATAAATCCATTCCCCTTTGATAAGCACACCCGTTGCAAAAGGCATGACAAATACACCGGACATTAGATCACTTACAGCAAGTGCGATGATATACAGATTGGTAGTTGTGCGTAGTCGTGTGTTCTTGTAGACTGCAATGCACACCATTATGTTCCCCGTTAACGACAGAAAGTTTAAAATTATGATGGAGAAGACCTCTACGGTGGTTAAAAGTACACTTCGATTGCTTGAAACGTCCGTCATCCTGAGATCTAAGAAAAACCAATTGAGTAAACAGGAGGAGGAAGTTTGATTTTGGTTTCAATTCTAGATCACGAGGTTGTTAATCGGTTAACTTTCGATACTAGGTCATGTCTTTGAGGCGGGGCTTATCAAGGACAGCAAAATTTGAAGAATGCGATATCCATATAAACTATGGATATCGATATCTATGCAAAAAGGCCAGTCAAAGGGTGAAGTTCTCGCCAGGTTAAGAAACTTAATTACTACGGAGGCTAAACTATTACTTTATAAAACTGCTATCATGCCATATCTCACCTATTGTCATCTCACATGGCATTTCTGTAAGGCGTCGGATACAAGAAAGGTTGAAAGAATTTAAGAGCGGGCACTAAGGATAGTTTATAACTCACATTCAGAAACGTATATGAACTCATTAGATCGTGCTAAACTACCAAGCCTTCTTAATAGGAGATTACAAGACATAGTTATACTCATGTACAGGGTTAAATATAGGCTAGTAAGTTCCTGATTTCATTTGTGACATTTTCAGTACTAAGTCTTGTAAATATAATTTTAGAAACCAAAATTTTGATATTCCTAGATTTAATTCTGTATTGTATGGTAAACACTCTCTTAGATATCTTGGACCCTTTTTATTGAACAAGCTAGATAAAAACATCACTGAAACGAGCAGCCTATCTAGGTTTAAGTTTCATATTAGATGTAAGGATCTTACTGAACTGATAAATGGCAAAAATTGCTCCGAGTGCGTAATTTGTACCTCTTAAGTTGTGCCCGTGTTCCTAGAATTGTTTTGATTATTTTAGCATATTGTAAATGTCTATATAATATATATAGTATTATACTATAGCTTCTTTTATAGCTTTTTTATTTCTTATCTTTTATTCATCATATTATTCATTATTTATTTTATCTTTATGTTGTGTCCCCAATTAGCGTCAGCTGAATACATCGACACATGAATAAAGTTCATCATCATCATCATCATCATCATCATCATCATCATCATCATCATCATCATCATCACGCCCATCGTCTCAAGGACAACACTCGTCACAGGAGCATGACTTTTTCAGAGGGGCATTACTCGTCGCAAGGGCAACAAATGTCAAACATCATCATTCGAATTAAGAATTAAATGAAATGTACTTTTACTCTATTCAGACAGGGCTATTATGGCTTCCTGTGACCGGTAGTGGGATGGGGGAGGGTCTCAATGGGGTTAACCGATAGGCGTAAAACGGCCAAAAATTTAGTCGATAGCCGTAAAAATTGCAAAATTTTAACTGTTAGCCGTAAATAGAGCAAAAAAAAGTTAACCGTAAAAGAAACTGTTCCCTAGATTTGCTACTTTTAAGGAAGGTACTAAACTCACTTGTGGTTGCGTTTTTTATTTCCTTGCTGTTGTGGCTCCGTACGCACGTTAGGTAAAGCGCCTTTTAGGTGTTGACCAACACCCTGGTTCCATTTCCGCCGCTCTCTCGGGGAACTAATTTTTTCCATAACGAAAGTGTGACTTCTTGCTAGGGATTAATATTTGCGATTTTCAGGAGGTCGCGCCCTCGAAACACTAGTGAAACAACACGCAGAGATGTCACTGTTTGTAAAACACGTTGCCGATGAAAAACATTTCCCTGTTTTTCTCTGACGTTACGGTAGACCATGCCTAGTCCCTGTGTCTTAAACTTAAATGATGTCGAGGAGGCAGTGAATAATTTGGAAGCAAAAATTAAACACCACATGGATGAGTGTATGCCGTTGCGGTCAGTGCGCATGTCATCGCGTGATCCGGTGTGGATGACACCCTTAGTAAAATCGTTAATGAGGGTAAAGTCAAGAATAGCTCCAAGCAATAAAGATCGGCTGGCTGAGGGTAACAGGAAAATAAGTGAATTGATTAGTAAGAACAGAAGAACACTCGCAAAGACACCTGTCGGATCCAGAGAATGGTGGAAGCACGTAGATAACTTGTCCCAACGACGCAGCATTTCTGCTAACGTTACATTGGACACTAAATCACTGGAGGAGCTAAACGACTACTTCGCCGATTTGTGTACTGATGACGCATATACGAAGCCTGTACCAGCTATTGTGGATAAGAGCTTAGAAGCCCCTCAGACATCAGAAAGACACGTGTGGAATTGCTTACAACATCTGAAGAAAACCGTCATGGGACCAGATCTCATTCCCTTTTGGATTTGGAGGGATCACGCTGAGATCTTCATAAGTGTCATTCATAAGATCTGGAATGTTTCCCTGAAAACTGGAAAGTGGCCCTCCTCGTGGAAAAGGGCCCACGTGACGCCCCTCCCTAAGATCGTCTTCCCTAAGGGCAAGCACGACTTCAGAGGAATTAAGATCATGCCTGTAATTGCACGCGCGTTCGAGAAATCTGTGTATAACACCCATGCACGAGACATTGTCGAACAGCATCTGAGTTCAACACAGTTTGCTTATACGACAGAGGGAGTTGCACTGATGCGCTCTTGAGCATGCAGCACACCATCTACAGCTATTTAGACGAGCAAGACTGCAAAGCCGTCCGAGTATTTGCAATGGATTTTAGTAAAGCATTTGACTGTGTCAGTCATGAACTCCTGTCATCTAAGCTTAGGCAGTTGCCATTGAATCCCCTTATTGTGAACTGGTATTTAAGCTTTCTCGAGAAACGCCAGCAGCGAGTAGTTTATAACGGTTTTGAGGGACAGTGGCGTGAGGTTAATAGGGGTACGACACAAGGTAGTGTCAGTGGGCCATATCTTTTTAACGTGTTTATTAATGACTTGGAGATCAATCTAGAAGGTCGCCCAGCCTTGTTTAAATATGCTGATGATTCTACAATTATCGTCCCTTTTTGGGGAAACGGCCAGTGTCGCACTGACTTGCTGGATCAGCTTCTTAGCTGGTCCAGCTGCAATCGCATGACATGCAATCCAACAAAATGCAAAGAGATTATTTTCCGTAAGAAAGGTTTCAGTCAGGACATCGCGCCAGTTAGTAATATACCGCAGTGCGCAGAGTTATCCATATTAGGTGTTACTTTCCAACAAAATTGTAAATACAGTAGTCACGTGCGCGCGAAGGTAATTAAGGCGAACAAGTCATTATTCGTATTAGGATCTTTACGTAAGGAAGGAATGTCCCAGGAGGAAGTAGATCACCTTTTTAACGCAATAGTTTTACCAAATTTTTCTTACGCTCTGCCGGTTTATGGTGCCTCAGAATCCGACCTTTCTGTAATACAGAATTTTTTAGACCGGTGTATGAAAACAAATTTCATGTCCAAGGATGTAAATATCAGGGATTTGCTAGAGAAGGCGGACAAGACACTCTACAAAAAAAGATCGAATGACCCCGAATGTCCGTTCTTCCAGTTTTTACCTAAGGAAAAGAACATGAGATACAATGTTAGAATTACGTCAGTCTCTGTCCCTAGAATCTACACTGACAGGTTTAAGCACGTTTTTAGTAACAGAATAATTTTTAGATATGATATGTAAATAGTTTTTTGAGTTTATATTGTAACTTAGGATATGTGATTTTATCTTAAGAAATAAAGATTATTATTATTATTATTATTATTATTATTATTATTATTATTATTATTGTACGGCTTCTTCCCACGCAATCTCGGTCAAGGCTTTTCGGTGGCGAACTCGCTAGGACCACGTGACCCGAAACGCATTAGCCGCGCGGAATAATGAGGCCTATGGACAGTCGTTCCGTACAGTCCTTCGTTATCATTAAAAACACTGGACACGGGAATTTTGTTAACGGCAGTTTTCACGCTAGAGCTAGAAATGGATTATCCGTCTGAGACTAGCCTGTGTACAGTCGCGCCCTCCCCACAGACACCCCTTCTCCGATTTTTTCTGAGGGAAGGGGGCGGCTGTACACAGGCTATCTGGAACAGATAATCCCGTCTTCAAACTGTCCGTCGAAATTGACGGATAAAGTCAGGCGGATTGTTCCTTCAAAATTAAAACTATTCCATCTTCAAATTAAGAAGTATTACCTATCTGACGCTATCATCAAACGGATAACCCGTCTCACACGTATAATCCGTGTCTCTAGTGTGAAAACGGCCATTTCTGTTATAATGAATGTCGCGCCCCGGCCTTGAGTTGGGCGTTTGCGTGTTCGCTTTTGCTTTTTCACAAAGATTATTTTTAAATTGACTATTGACATTTCTAAGTGTAAAGTAATATCAGAAGTGAAATACTTTAAAAAAAGTATGATCTATCAAATGTCAAAATTGTTCAAAAGAATAGTTTGTTTCATCCCGAGAAGATCCGAAGACCTTTATTTCTATTTAAAGATTCAAAAAATACAGGTTAATCAGTTTTTAACTTTTTAAAACAAAAGAAGTTAATTTTAACTTTCTTGTTAACCGTAACTGAAAAAAATTAACCGATAGCGGTAAAAGAGCCAAAATTTTAGCCGATAACCGTAAAAGCCGCCACCCCATTGAGACCCTCATGGGGGGCTCCAAACTTCAAAACCGCTCATGATACGGCCGCCAAAATTACACAGAATATTGTACCCACCATTTCCAGTATCTATGCCTAACTAGATTGACACAATGAGGTAACTTTACGTCACAATTACGTCATATTCTTGAATTTATTGGCAGAATCCAAATGTCATCATTTTTTCTTCTCAATCGAAAAATACTTTATAAATAGTAAGGTGTCTGACAAAATCATAAAGGTGGCTGACATATAGTCTGCTACACAGCCGTTTTTAGTGTCGTCAGGAGCGTTGCGTGACGACACTAAAAACGGTTGTGCAGCAGACTTGCTGACATAGAAATCATCTTTACATGTAATCACTGAATAGCGATGATTTAATTTGTAAAATTCCGAGAGAAATTAACACTGGTAAGATTTGAACCCAACTTCTACCAATTGGTCATTTTAATTTTTTTTTATCAAATCAGTTACGAAATAGTCTGGGATACACTAATTGCTTTAAACTTCATAGTGGTCATAGCTAAAACGGTTTTGAAATTATTTGGCTTTTTAGCGTGGGGGATCCAAACGCCTCCCTGGTCTGAATAGGAAAAAGTTTAACAACTGAATTCCTGCTCTCACTTCCTTTTTCTTTGATTTCTCGGTTTTTAAACTTTAAAAAGTATAAAATTGTTAAGAAGTGAAAATAGTACATTAACTTCCTCTTTTTCGTAACAGTTTAACTCCTTTCTGAAGTAAACACGACTGGAAGAGTGGATCCCTGCCTGCCTTCTTGAATCGTTGGCACTACTCTAGCAGACACACCCGCAGCATTGCGTCTTTGTGCACAGCAGAGAATTTTTCGGAATTCTCTTCTAAATATAGGATTCATCCCCGCATATACGGATTCACTGTATTAGAGAAATACATACAAAAATTGCAGAGGAGTTCGACATTACGTGGTATCGTCGCGACGAGACGAAAGCGTCTCAAAAGAACGATAAGCCAAAATGGGATCCAGCATATCATGAACGCCAGCACTACTGCAAAAAGAGATTTACTTATCTTGATCTCACTCGTAGTAATGTGGCTGAATGTTTCGCGTCTCTGGATTGTAGTTGACGCATCGGCGTTGTGCTGTTGGATCGTCTTTGCAATTTTTATGTAACTAAATATTGCTGTTAGTAACGGGATTAACAGGAAACATATGACTACAAAGGCATAGTGAAACATTTTCCCAATTTCGCTCAGGTGGGCTGGAGCGCAAAGGGCATATCCCGGGACGAAGACAAAATCCTGAACACCAGCTAACTTCGGTGCAGCAGTATAACAAGCGACAAAAATCCACACACAGGCAAGCAAGCCGCGAGACTTCCACGGTGAAAAGATTCTCTTGTACTGCTGCTCCGATTTGCAAATCCTCATGTACCTGTTGAAAGCCATTAAACCCATCGCTACTGATGAAATGTAGATAACAAACCCACCGCAGAAACCATGAAAGTTGCAAAAAACTGAGCCAAAAACCCAATCGCCTCGTAGGCCGAGGCGGATAACACTCTCCGAGATCTCCATAATTCTTCATACGATACAAAAGCCGAATTCAATAATTGTTTTATTATTCAGTCAAAATTCTCTATTCCTAGCTTAAAAACTTGGTTAAAAAAGAGGAGAAAAATGTTCCTTACCCACACTAAATAAAGTCAACTGGTCCTCCCCTAAGCCCCAGACAACGCCTTTTTCGAGTATGTAAAGTCTTGACATTTTTTCAAGAGTACGTAGACTAGTCTAATTTTGCCCTCAGTCATGCAAGGGAAAGGAAATGCAACCCCCAATAAGATTTGAGTAGCTGTTCATTTTTTTTTCAGACACAAAACTTGAATTGGTGAACTTCGACAGTCACTGTTATAATATGTCATAATTAGTAACATTCCATTTTGGGGCAAAACTGCGATTTTTTTGTATGTGTGTGTAAAAGTCGTACGAAACTGTGCCAAAAGAAGCAAAATATTTAATTATAACATAACAAAAGTAAATCGCGCACTCTGATTGGTCAGTTAGCCACTACCATTTGCCCGTGGGTGCACGCTAAGAAACTGAGCTAGCGCGGTAAAATTTAGGCAAATTCAACAAATCTCCTCTCCTGACGGTAAAATACACCGATGAAATGCACAGATGAAAAGTGGAAGTTGAAGAAAATACTAAGCTGTCGTTTTGAAGGAAAAAAGACAAAAGATCAAGCGACAAATTTGCCCTGGATGAATTAATCACTGTTTTCCTCGCGGCTAGAATCGGCTGGAGGAAAATCGAGCGAGCGAAGATTTAAGGTACATTTTGTGTGTTTTTTATAGAAGAGAAAGTCTGTTTGAAATGTAAATTTATCAATTACCATTGTGTTATTGACTTTTTGGTCAAGCTGATGCTAAATTCAAGCAAATATTTTAGGAAACACGCTCAAATTCGAGACAGCTTTATTGTGAAGTTTTCATCGCATCGATTAACAATTTTAGTTGAGTTTAAACGGGCACATAACGCTAGAATAAGCGAATTTCATTTGAGTACAGAAACATTTGGGTTTTCAAATAAATTTTTCAAAAAATAACTTCTGTGTGTATTATTTTGTTCCTCAGTGTTCATTCATAACAGTCTTTCAGGGAACAGTCGAAAAACAACAGCTTCAGCGCCGGCTGTGTGTCGGCGAATTTCAGTTGACTTTCATAGCTGGATTTCCCAGACAGATTTCGATACAAAGCTAGTTAATTTCTTTTTAAAATTAGTGTTACCTGTTATTCTAAAGGAATTACTGTCAAATGTTCTCATTTCTACTTTACGTTTATTTCAAAAATTGTCACATAAATAAGCTTGATAATTATTTCATTTATTTAGTTTTAGCTTATTTTTTAGTCTTTTTAGTTGGTGTTTATAGTTGCAGATATAGTTTTCCCTCAAAGTTTTTACCCTAATATTAAGAGCAAGTAGACAGATGACATTCACAATAACAACAAAAAACGTTTCGCAATCTACCTGAGGACGGAGAACGGCTGATTCAGCGAAAGAAAAACTCAAAGGCAAGTTTTTGAAAAACATAGAACATGATTTGTTTACGCGCGGGCAGATGGCAGCATACATGAACTCCGACCGATGACTCAACTGAAGGCAAATGGAAAACAATGTTTTTCTCTTTTGATTATGTTATAAAAGAAATGGTAAACGTTCCAGCTGTGCAACCATGGAGTTATGGATGCACTTGGGAGGTTTGCTAAGCACTCAAGAAGCTAGAGTCGCACTCGGCTATCGCCTCGTGCGACTCTTACGCTTCTTTCGTGCTTAGCAACCTCCCGCGTGCATCCATAACTCCATGGTTGCACGCTGCACGTTTACCATTTCTTAATTATCATTTCCATTTTAGACCAATAAACATAAAACAACTGCAGCCAATATGTTCAACATCTCGTAAATGACCGACCGGTCCCAGGCAGCGCCATGTCACATATGAATGTTTCACAGTTGTAGAGTTCATCTCAGTTGGTCTAATCTTTGCTTAACGTTGTCACAAATAAAATACCCAAAGGTGATTTAAATGTCCCCGTTTTGTACCACGGGGGAGGAGATGGGGAAAATTTAGTTTTGCTTGTACCCAAAGGGACTAAAATGGCTGCCATCTTGCATTTTACTGTCCGTTTACATTTTTCAGAAGAGTGCTGAAACTGAAAGCGTTTTTCTAGATCACAAATATGGTAGGATTAAAAATTAAATTAAATTGCTCTTAGATGCATTTGGTATTTATATTTTGTTTTTCTACAGAATGAGACCCAAAGCAACAATTACCGAAAAATTAATTAGACTTTTTTTCTCCTAGCGTTGAGGAACGATGCACAGCCATTTTTAGGGAGTTATTATAACTCCAAAAATGGAGTAAAAAGTTTAGGTACAGGATAATCCCTTTTATGGGGTTACTTTAACTCCTGATTTAACTCCAAATTTGAAGTCATTTTTACTCCTGAAAAAGAGTTCTTTTTACTCCCAGTCAGGAGGCCATATGGGCTCCTGTCCCAGTCTGGAGTTAAATAACTCCAAAAATGGGTTTATTTTTACTCCTTACATGGGTTGTTTTTACTCTTTTTGGAGCTAATTAAACTCTGAAAGTGGAATGAAAATTTTAGGTACAGATATGAGCTCCTGGTGCAGGATAACTCCTATTTGGGGGTTATTTTAACTCCTCAATATCTGGGATCATTTTTACTCCTGAAATAGAGTTCTTTAAACTCCTTTTTGGGGTTAAAATAACTCCCCTGTAAGAAGTTAAATTAACCACACTAGAGGAGTTATTATAACTTCTTGAAAATTACTGTGTGAGAGACGGCTGTATTGGAACGTTTAATACTGAGCGATCCTTTAGCCATTGATTGGGAGTTTAACATGAAAAAGGGGTTGTCTTTGAGGGACGCAGGTCAATCAAACTTGTGAAGACGCTTTCGCATTCTTGAGGAGTAGTTTTGCCCAATTTTTCGGGCAGAAGCTTCGGACTGTTAGCGCGCTAGATCAACTAGTGGACTTAAGCGACCTACAACTGGTTACTTAAGGGGGGGACTTACTCTGAGCGACTACGCTTTAGCGATCTGACAAGGCTCGTCACAGCCTTGGTACACAGGATCTCACTAACTGCTGTGAATCGGACAGCAAATAATTCAACTTCTTGAACCAAGTGCAAGTCCAAGTTAATTTCATTGTGTAAAATACGCTTAGCTATTTCAGTGAGGAAACTCACTAGCTAGTTGACAAGTATTACACATTGTACTAGAAATACGTGTCTCGCAATAACCCTCGCGAAACTCGGTTTGGTCACGGCATGAGTCAAGTTTTACAGGTATTACACATTTTAAAAACTGATAAGAAATTTAAAAAGAATAGATAATTGTGACTAAAATATGTTCAAAATAACTACTGAAAAGATAAAAAGAAACTATTTAAATAAGACTAAAAAATTTTACTAAGATTAAGCAAAAACTATTTACAGTGCGATAGACTGGTAGTAGTAGTTTATTATAGTAAACCTAATAGGTCCAGTTTTGTAATACTATTTTAAAAGCCTTGAAAGATCGTATAGTTCTTTATGAATCGGGTATAGAATTCCATAGTTTTTCCAAAGTGTAAAGTCTTTAATTTATGCTTAAACGAGAACTAAAACATAACCAACTTATCTTTACAGGGCACTTTCCTACGTAGTACATTGTACCGGCTATTCCGGCACTATTAAAGATATCTGTGAAAAGTGCGTCTGAGTGGCACGCAACCACTTGTAGAAACAATATTGAGTTCTATATTGTAAAAGCTATTTGAGTGACAGTTTAAATAACCTTGAAAGGAAATATGGGACTCCCATATGAAAAGGGCGGGGATGCTCGTGGTCTCGCTTAGGGGTGTACATTTCGGATTTTGGTCTCACTTAGGGTGTTCTCTGCAAAACACCAGTATATTTAGCCGTTAAGGTCTCTTTTAGCGTTGCAGGCAAATTATATATTTTCAATTCGTTTTAGTTACTAGATTCATGTAATCAAAGTTGAAAGTGGTCTCCTTTAGTGGTTTAATTCAAAATTTCCGACGAGCATCCCAGGCAAGCCGGAAGGAACACGTGAAACAATTTTTGAAACTTGCTGAAGATATCTACGAATAGATAAAAAGAAGCTGAAATGAGAGTAAATGCTGATGAATATCGAAAGTTCCAGAAAGCCCGAAATTTTAATGATTTCTCCCGAGACTGTTATAATTTATTTGCCATTGAAAAGCGGCAAGAAATGAAAACGTTCGAGCAAAACTGTGTCACCCTGATCCTGAGGCGTATTACAAGACTTTCATTTTCACACTGAGAGAAAACTCTTTTATGTTCCGATCGAATTAACACAGATTAACCTGAAGGTTCAAACACACACAAACGCTTTTTTAACGCGAATTTATGGTAGTTGCTTAGCTGAGTATCCATCCGCCGCGAAAACATAGATAAAAAAATTCTTTACTTGAGACAAAACAGGTAATTAAATTAAAGAAATTTTCGATTTCACATACACCCACAGCAATGGGTCTTCCTTCACAGCATAGCATTCAGTAACAGAATTCTCTTATGGGCATCTATCTGTTTTTCAATCTAATCACAACAAACTATGACGACTACGTCAGTTCACGAAGTTTCATCCACCTCTGACTTGGTAGAAGCTGCTGACTAGTAGTATCGAAGATGATTTCTGCTGTACATTTCGATCCCGCTTTGACCTCTCCCCTGTCAGGTATTTGATTCACAATTCTGTTTGTGTTTGCTGTTGAAGAGCCTTCGTTCACAGCAAAACATTTTTCGGAATTCGCTTCTGAAAGTGCGATTCATCCCAGCGTATATAAAAGGATTTATTGTATTTGACAGATAAATAAAGAAACAAGCAAGGAGTTCAATATTTCGTGGCAGCTTCTCAACGACATGGAGGTGCCTTACAACAACGATCACCCAAAATGGGATCCAGCATATCATGAACGCGAACACAACCACAAAGAGAGACTTACTCAGCTTCAGTTCTTGCACTGTGATGCTTGAGCCGGTTGCGCCGCTGTGAATCGTAGATGACATAGCAGCATTGTGCTGTCGGATCACCTTTTCAACCTTTATGTAGCTGAATATTGTAGTCAATAAAGGAGTTAAAAAGAAAAAACCGAGGACAATGGCGTAGTGGACAACTTTTCCAGTTTGATTGAGATGAACCGGAACGCACAGGGCATATCACATAGTCTTGAAGACCTGTTAACTTTGGAACAAGGATGTAGCAAGCAACAAGGATCCATGCACAGGCCAATAATGCTCGTGACTTCCACGGTGAAAAGATTCTTTTGTATTGCTGCTCCGACTTACAAATCCTCATATATCTGTTAAATGCTGTTAAACCCATAGTCACGGGTGAAATGTACACCACAAACAAAGCAATGTACGCTAGAAAGTTGCAGATCACTCGGCCATAAACCCATTCCCCTTTGATAAGCACACCCATTGCAAAAGGCATGACAAATACACCGGACATTAAATCACTTAAAGCAAGTGCGATGATATACAGATTGGTGGTTGTGCGTAGTCGTGTGTTCTTGTAGACTGCAATGCGCACCATTATGTTCCCGTTAACGACAGAAAGTTTAAAATTATGATGGAGAAGACCTCTACGGTGGTTAAAAGTACACTTCGATTGCTTAAAACGTCCGCCATTCTGATATATATGAAATACCAAGTGACTAAACAAGAGGAAGTTTTTTTTTTTGGTTTCAATTCTAGATCACGAGATTGCTAATCGGTTAACTTTCGATACTAGTTCATGTCCTTGTGGCGGGGCTTATCAAGGACAGCCTCTTCCTCAGGCGCTTCGTTTTTCGCAAGGTAGAGGCGAGCGACTGGTGATGAACCACAAGGGACCATGGGAAGGGTACAGACGGCAGGCGAAGCGCCGTATCGCCCGTTGTCTCCTTCCCGCCTTCCTTTGCGTGCACATGTTCATGGAGAGAGAGACGTCTGGGTGCGAGGCAGTATCAAGGATGTTTAACCGCAAAATTTGAAGGATACGACATCCATAGAAACTTTCCGAAAATTCAATACTTTCTAGACTTAATATCAGCACTGGGTTTTGCGGCTTTTCTTATAGATATATTTCCATATTGTTTAGCAACACAGAAAAGCACGAACAACAACAACAAAACCGGCCGGTCGTTCTTAGTGCTCAGAAATGGCTTGAATTGCTGAGTCTGAACTGTTAAGAAAATTGTTTCAATATTCGGGCAGACGTTTCGGACTATTAGCGCGTGCGAGAACAACTCGGGAACTTAAGCGACCTAGAACTGGTTACTTGGGGGGTGGGGGGGGGGGGGGGAGGTGGGACTTACTCTGAGCGACTACGCTTTAGCGATCTGACAAGGCTCGTCACAGCCTTGGTACACAGGATCTCACTAACTGCAGTGAATCGGACAGTAAATACTTCAACTTCTTCAAACAAGTCCAAGTCCAAGTTAATTTCATTGTGTAAAATACGCTTAGCTATTTCAGTGAGAAAACTCATTAGCTAGTTTACAGGTATTACACACTTTACTAAAAATACGTATCTCGCAACAACCCTCGCAAAACTCGGCTTGGTAACGGAACTCAAGTTTTACAGGTATTACACATTTTAAAAACTGATAGGAAATTAAAAAAGAATAGATAATTATGACTAAAATATGTTCAAAATAACTATTGAAAAGATAAAAAAAAAACTATTTACATAAGACTAAAATAGATCCAGTTTTGTACTTTATTTTAAAAGCCTTGAAAGATCTTATTACTATTTGAATCGGTTATAGAATTCCATAGTTTTTCTATAGTGTAAAGTCTTTAATTTATGCTTAAACGAGAACTAAAACATAACCAACTTATCTTTACAGGGCACTTTCCTACGTAGTACATTATACCGGCTATTCGCTATTAAAGATATCTGTGAAAAGTGCGTCTGAGTGACACGCAACCACTTGTAGAAACAATATTGAGTTCTATATTGTAAAAGTTATTTGAGTGACAGTTTAAATAACCTTGAAAGGAAATATG